TTTCAGACAAGAAAAACTTGATGAAATTCAAATTTTTCAGACATAAAAAAAATTTGTAACCAAACAATAGAGCGAAAAAAACACCCGGGGTGATGACTCCCAAGCCCATGATTTTTTTCGATCCTTGTTCTCTCTAGGGAATCTGCTGTTTACTAACGTCCCCCTTTAAGGCCCGGGAAATTGGACCGGAGAGTGAACAAAAAAATTTACGGCACACATGTACGGTGAAGCCCCCTAAATTTTTGGGAAAAGGTTTAAAGTCCCTTTATTTGTATTTCCCGGAACGCGGCATAAAAAATATATGTTTATATACATTGGAAAATTTAGAGGGATTAGTATCAAACTTGCCAAAAAATCATCTGCAAGGAAAAAATCGGCAGGAGTTTAAACATTCCCCCAAAGAAAAGCAGGGGGCCCCGAAAACACAGAAAAAGTCAGGGGCTAAAGATGTTCAACACATAAATAAGGGGGGTTACCAATAAAACCCCCGCCCGTTTTCAAGAAGGCGTTGGACAGGCACCCAAAATCAAAACCCGAAGGCGGGGTGGTTAGTACATCGAATTAAAGCCCCCAACGTAACAGCCTGGTTGATCAGGCCATGATCACCGTGGTGGTACAGACCGGGCCCCCCCGGGGGCGTTGACCCCCGAAACCCCTCCCAGCCGCCGCTTTTCTTGTGGGTAGAGGTAGGTGTTTTTGGCAGTGGGGTTTCTTTAAAAGGTTTTGTGCGTTTAAACTCTCTTGGGTTTTTTGGGGCAGTTGGGGATAAGGTCGTTTTTTGGTCCCTTTAATGGTGGAGAAAGTCAATGGTGGGGTTTTGAGGAGTCTCATCATATGAAAGGTGATAGTGGTGGTGGGTGCTTGGTGTAATTTTTGAGTTTTGAGATTTGACAATTTTTGAGGTGAGGTTGATTAGTCAGAGGAAGGGTGGAGAATCGTGAATGTAAAACTGGGCATGTTTTTTAACCTAAAGAGTTCGTTGTGACGGTGTTAAAGGATACTGGTTTAGTCATATTGTAAAATTTTAGCGTACACCAAACAGCAGGGTTTTTTGTTGGTTTTCACAGTGTGGTAGTAAGTTATCTTTGGAAAGGGGAAAGGTTTGCGTGGCCATTAGCAGTTTTGGGTATCGCTTGTAATTTGGTGACTGCAGCATATGTTGGGGGCCCTAAAAAGATGATTTTTTGTTCTTTTTTCTTTGGTTTTCTTGAATTTTGTCTTTAGGGCACTTAGAAGCAGAGTCGGTGGCCCCTTTTTCAGTTCAGGCATTTTGGTGGAGGGGGGTTGTGGGAGGTTTAAATGTGTCCCTCACAACCACGGGGAAAAGCAAAATTTCTTGCCCTTTTTTTTGGGCTGTCTTAGTGGTATCCAAATGTACCCCTGTTAATCCTAGGCTAGGTCCTGGCCTTTTGTGTATTCATATGTTTTTGCGCTATTCATATGCTTTTTGCCAATAAGCTAGCCCCGTGGTGGCAAAATGTAATAATTAGGAATATAAATCCCATTTTTGGCATTCTTGCTTCGAGTGGCGGGATTGAAAAAAGTGTAGTAGATGGTCATCCCTTAGCTAGAGCCTGGACACCCCATGTTGACGTCAATAAATGTGTTTACACCATGGTGAGTATTAGTTTTTCCCTGATGTGTTCCATTTTTCCCCAAGAGTCTGGTCTTCTATGAAGTCCGACCCCCTTAGGTGGAGAGGCGGACTTAAAACCCTGTCCATAAGAGTTTTTGTGGCAGTATGGTGAGTAGTTTCTCAGCCTTGACGTCGTCGTTCCAGATGAAATGAAGGGGTCTTGTGCGTCAGAAATAATAATTTAAACATTACTACAAGCTCCCCCCTAACGGCGGCTGAAGTGAAAGTTTTGATGGCCGTTCACAGTTCCGCTGCAGGTTTGATATTTACACGTTTTGAAAAGCTATCGTAAGGATCAAAGATGTGATGCGCGAGGTTAAGGTTCCTCTCCCCAACGGGATCATTCGAGATAGGGTGAGCGTCTCGACTTGCCAGGGTAAAGTCTAGGGAAAACAATTCTTTGGACCCTTTTTTTTTTCTCTGACAATAGGTCTTTAACTTTCTTCTCAGTATCTTTTATGTCTTTCCCTAGAGACAGATTTGGATTTAAGTCTTCCCCTTATGATACGAGAAGTTACAAAGGTGAATGAGGCCGGAATCGTCACTGAGAATATTTTATCGTTACCTTTTTTCTTTGTTTTAGAAACACTAGTTTGTGAGATATCTCATGTTTTTTGTTAAAAACAGCAGTTTATAGAATATCTGAAGCGCAGTAGTAGATGTTCTTATATGTCGGCAGACTTACAATGTTGAAATCTTGTTGTAGCAGTTGAAAGAGGCTGTCAAAAGTTTTGGGAATTTGAGGATCTGATCAATCTAAAAAAAATTTTTTACGAGGGAATTCGACACAAGTTTGACCTTATCTTCGCTGCAACGTACGAAATGCACGTTGATAACTTACAGGTAACAAGTTGTTTAACAAGTTGTGTCTTTAGAATAGTTTCTTTGGCAGTATCGTAATTAATATATTTGTCAAAGTGCAAAGCAGCAGTGCAAGTTTGAGTTCTGCCTGTCAAAGCTGTGTGCAACAATGTTACCCAGGGCTTGCTGGCCACTTCATTGCACGTCAAACACATCAAAGTCTTTATGTCACTTTCAAAGAACTTAGGAACCATTGAGACAGCTTAATGAGTCCTGAATTGCATTACAAGGTTTATCAGATCTATAAACGAACGGTCTCTCTATCGTTTATTGTCGTTTAATATCCTCTTTGCCTCTATTTGCACAATCTACAAATGTATTAGGCATTCCATCCTCTTATAATAATCCTGAGAGATTGTACTCTCAATATTGTGTGCTTCTTGCCTATATCTTTACCTATTTACTATGAGCATGGTTCTGTAATTTAGGTGTAGGAAATAAATGCAGTTAATTAAAATATATGATGGGCAATGTCATCTACCATCACTATTTTATTGAAATGTAATGCAGAATAGAGGGAAATAAGAAAGTATTATCAGTATTATTATTATTATTTATTATTATTTATTATTATTATTATTATTATTATTATTTTATTATTATTATTATTGTTATTTTATTATTATTATTATTATTATTATTATTATTATTATTATTATTATTATTATTATTATTATTATAATTATTATTATTATTAATATTATTATTACTGTAGCATCTGTAGATGATTTGAAAATATCTGTATTACTGTAAAAGCTGGAAATTAACTATAGAAATGTATTGTGTGTGACCATTCTCGCATGTTGATTTTCTATTATTTGTGGCTCCAATATGTTTTCCCTTGAATTTCTGTTTAGTGGTAATATAGTTTATAAAATTCATTTTTTTTTCTAGTGTTATTATTCACTGTAAGAATTATTGGGAGTAAAAATAAGGATTAAACAGATGAGTTGAGGTACTTTTGAAGAAGTTTTGTAAAGAGTTTGTGTACACAAGTTGGAGTTCTGTTCAAACTGTGAAGGGATTCCCTCCACAGTTTGAGTTGATGGTGAGAGATGCAAAACTGATGACCTGTATTTACTTAAGCTGCTCTTCAGTCTCATTAGGTGCTCTTTTAGCACAGGATCATACAGTGGAACCTCAAATTTCGAGTGTATCACTTATCGAACGTTTCAAAAATAGAACCCTTTTTCCGAACCAACTTTGCCCCTATTATTGAACGCGCCCCTATTTTCAGACCGCCGGGTACCGGACCTGTCCGCCAACCAGCGCTGTCCGCGTCCCTGCACAGGCGCCGTGAGCCAGTCTGGTTTTGTTGATGCTTGAATGAACACTAACATGCGCTCTCATTCAAACATTTTACGATTATTTCATTGTGTTTAGTGCTTGTGGGACTGCGAAATAAGCTACCATGGGCCCAAAGAAACTTGCTAGTGGTACCCCTGTGGTAAAGAAAGTGCGAAACACCATAGATGTGAAGAAGGAAATAATACAGAAGAATGAGAGTGATGTGAGACTTGCTGAGCTTGCCAGGATGTATGGGAAAAACAAGTCGGCCATCGGTTCTATCCTGGCAAAGAAAGAACAAATCAAGGAAGTATATGTTGCAAAAGGTGTTAATATGCTAACCAAAAAAAGATCACAAATAGTTGAAGAGGTTGAGAAGTTGTGGCTTGTGTGGACAAAGGATAAAAAGATGGCAGGTGACAGTGTTTCAGAGACGATTATTTGCGAAAAGACAAGGAAGTTGCATGCCCATCTGGTACAGAAAACTCCTGGAACCAGTTCAGTGACAGAACCATGTTCCATTTTAGGGCAATGTTAAAGAGGCACCAGAAACAGAGGACTGTGGAAAGTTATTTTGTGAGACAGGGGTCCAGTGACTCTCCAGCTGTTCCTCGTGACATTAAAAGACAGAGAAGGGAAGTAACTCCAGAGAGGGCTTTACTCGAAATCCTCATGGAGGGGATTCTCCTTCCAAACACTAACCCCAACTCCCTCTCTCCTCCTCCTTATCTTCCAGATGCCATCACCAATCTTCAATAAAGGTAAGTAAAAATGTTATTTTACATTTATATACATAATTGATCACTAGTATTTGTTGTGTGTATGTAAAACTGTAATTAATTTCTATAAAATGTATTTTTTTGTGAACGGATTAATTGTATTTCCATTATTTCTTATGGGAAATATTTCTTCGATTTTCAGACTTTTCGAATTTAGAACTAGCTCCTGGAACGGACTAAGTTCGATATTTGAGGTTCAACCATCTCAAGAAAGTTTCCTCTATTTGATGAGAATTCGTCCTCCCTGTGGCCACGAAATGCTAGGTTCTGTTTAGCCAGAAATAGTGTAATGTCCAGCAACCTGTACAATATTTCCCTTCACCTTTTCTTCTGGATATCCCTTGAAACAATTATTTCTGACATCCACTAGGCCTTTTCGATTTATGCAATAAACGAGGCATGATATTATATCAATGATCTGAAAAAAAAAGGCCAGGTTCACCGTTTTGGTTTTACTAAATATTCGGTAATTTTTAATGGCGACAAACAAATAAATGGTGCCAGTTCCATTATCCTAATGAGGATGAAATGAAAGGAAATAAGTGGATTAGGTTCAGATGTAAATAAAACTAGCTAATAATTACTGTTGTCTCATGATTGCATAATTTTTTTAATAGAGCCTAATTTGGATATTTAACTCAGATTCTAACCAGACTGAGGGTAAAGTGGAGAAAATTTAGCATACTTCCCAATGAATTGGGGAAATAATTATAATAATCATTATGGATATAATACTAATGTGTACCACATTATTTGGTAAGCCTCCCGGCCCTATAGGCTTTAGCTCACAAGGATTGGTAACAATGCTTGGTTAAATATTTACTACAAGTACATATACTTGGTATACAGGCCTAGTTGACATCAATGACATACGACTGTATAGAAAACCCACACCAGTCGATTAACACCCAGGTACCCACTTTACTGATGAGTGAAAATAGACAACTGGTGTAAAGAAACACGCCCAATGCTTCTTTCCTGGCTGGGAATCAAACTCAGACACCGCCGTGAAGCGAGAGCTTTTAGCCACCAGTAGGCTAAGTATACATATTGCGTTAGATACATGGCATATAACACTGATCTGCCACAAACCCTATCCCTAAGCTAAACAAAATCCCTCATTGATAGCCATAATATAATGATGTAATGGAAAAGTACTTTATCGCAGAGAACCAGATAATACTGAAAAGGCATAATTTCATTAACATTGGCAGTTATGTGCCACGGTTATTTCAACATTTCATGAATGTCAGTTCTCACCCGTTCATATATATTGATTCATGACATGACTGACATGAATAATAAGCAAAAGCTCAAAATATGATAATTACCTGACCCTTTGTCTGTTTAACCCAGCCACATATGCACCACCACCTGGACCAAATTCACTCGTAGTCGGTGCAGCAGACACAGGATGTTACGTCAGTGATGCCAGGTGGATTAAGAGCTTTTCCAAAATACCGTAAATAAAATTATCGATTTATCATAGTTTTCCCTATATAGGCCTATTTGTACTTTGTAATCACATAATAGGCCATATAGAAGCAAAGGATTTTTTATTTTTTTTTTTGCTTCAGCATTGTTTTGAACATTATTGTCACCTTCTATAGACGCTCTGTGGTGTCACCCCATGATGGTGTCACCCAGGGCGGCCCCCTTCCCTTATGACGCCCCTGGGAGGGAACACGAGAAGTTCTCTGTAACCAAAGCCTCACTGTCACACCTTTGTCGGCTTAACAATCAAACTTCTGAGAGGCTAGCGTGCATTAGACCAAAAAGGCCTCTTTCAAGGGTGTGAATTATATTTGGGCTGTGTGATATCCATGTGAAGGCGCCTTTTGATTCTCATAAAATCTTTAAAATTATTGCTTAATGGCATTACCAACCTAGGCCACACTGCATTGAGGATCTTGGGACTGGGGTGACGGAAATACTTGAAGTTTTCATATAGAGGATGGGATAATTTTCCTTAAATTTTATGTTAATTATTTAAAAATACTGAACGAACAGGAAGCTTTGATTCACTTACTACATATATTAATTTTATGATAACATTGTTTTATTATGTAGCAACAATCTAAATATTGGTAATAGATGGCTAACTTAGATTTAGTTAATAAATATGACCCGCAACACAAATTTATCCAATTGTTGTATACATAAGACTATCTAGAGGGTTAATATGTGATTTGTTGCATCTTATTCGTAGTCTTGATAGTAAGGAAAGTCAGAGCCCTGGAGATACTTCAACGTCCATTGTTTGAAAGCCTTTTGCTGCTCCTCAGTCAAGTGGTTCCTCCAGTCTCCTACCTGTAAAACAGATTTTTTGAGTGTAAAAACTGACCATAAATACAAAGTATTTCAAGTTCTATGGTGGAACATTGACACAAAGTAGTATGGTTGGTTACAGCAGGCGAGGAGCGGTACTGGAATGTGTTAGGCACAGCAGGGGAGGAGAGGTGCTGGAATGTGTTAGGCACAGCAGGGGAGGAGAGGTGCTGGAATGTGTTAGGCACAGCAGGGGAGAAGCGGTGCTGTAATGTGTTAAGCGCAGAGAAGGCAGGGTGAGTATTGTCAGGTCACAAGTTTTACCAGATATTGTTTTCCAGGCAACGAAAACTATGCATGAATTTTCTGGACACACTAAACACAACACCTGTGACAACAAAGACAACAACTGCACTATTCAGGGTATAACAATATTATGAGGATCAAAGTTGATGTAATATCCTCTTGATAATTTTCAAGAGCACAAGATGTCTTGCAAAATTTATTACACCAGAAACACTTGCAATCCTTCACACAGTAGCAACCAGTTTCACCTAGGTTGTGTAATGGACCAAAATTAAACAAGAGATTAAGGAAGAAGTTGAACAAGAAAGTTACTCAGATCACTGAGTTCGATAGGTAAGGCAGCGACCATTCTGAGGTGGCCAGCCACATGGCTTATAATAGCGACTCTCTTTGATGGCGTTACGCTTTTAATAGCTGCTTTTTCTCCGTGCCTTCCCTATATGGCTGTACTGAATCTTCTTATAAGACATCTATGTGTCGATGATTTTCCTGGAATAACACAAGAAAGAAAGCAGCTGTTAAACACACACCATCAATGAGAATAGTGTGTGTTGACCATCGTGCCGCCATTATATCTTCCATCACCTCTCCTCACCTGCTGTGACAGACTAAACAAGTTCTAGCTGTTTGTTCCATTGTACACTTAATGAAGCTCATGTATGCAACATATTGATCAATACAGGTTTACTTCTTAAATGTTTGGTTAGCCAATTTTGTTGACTTTTAAAATTTTAGAATGGCTCCAGTCTAACTGCGTGAGGTTTACTCAAGTCACCGGCTTTATTACGTTCTATTTACGTTCATTTTCTTCTCACACCTGACAGAGGCTCAGCACCCGACTCTCTGGTGACTTGTTAACATATTATTAAGATGAACACCAAGGTGCACAACAAGGTACTTTTCTGTACGAGTTACCTTGCCCTTTCTCATGAACTTTATTTCCTTTGCCTCTTGTGTGGGTGCCATGAGAAAAGTCTCGTTATTTACTGCTGGATTCTTGCTCATTTCCTTGAAGGAGCAGTGATGAGTCAGCCATGACACCTGCTCTTCGTTCACATCTCTTCCTAGAAAAGCTGCCACTTGCCTCACTACTGCCGCCAGGTCCTGCACTCAACATGTACATAATATATGGAAAAAGAATTGGTTAGATTATTAATGGTATTTTATTAAATATACCTAGAAAGCAGATGGAAGCAGATTACCTCAATGAGAACATTTTAAATCAAATCATGTTATTTAGTTAAATACTACAGCATATCCTACATGTTATTTACCATTATCACTGTAATATCACATGTCGATAAAGAGTAAAACATTACCTTCGTCATGTCCTCATACCGGAGAAAGAGGATGTGATTTTCATGTCTCATCTTCCAGAAGTTCAGGATGTGCAGCCAGAAGGGTGAGTACAATACTGTTGAAGAGAGTTAACAGTGAGTGCACCTCACATTATTGTACTATCCAGTGACACGGTCCAGTTCGTTGTGTCACTCATTACATGTATATCAATGTCACAGCACATGGCTGTACCATTCATAATAAACATTAATAATGCTGATGAATGGTTCAGAGAACCGACACGTTGATAAATTAGACACATGTGCAACTCTTGGGCATCTTTATTGAAGAAACGTTTCGCTACACAGTGGCTTCATCAGTCCATACAAAGGAGAATGGTGAAGAACAGAAGGAGTTTGAGGTAATCAGTCCCTCAGCCTTGAGGGATTGATTACCTCAGGATGAGGGACTGGGGGAAGGTCTTCATATTTGCAGATCTTTTTTTTTCAACAAGTCGGCCGTCTCCCACCGAGGCAGGGTGACCCAAAGAGAAAGAAAATCCCCAAAAAGAAAATACTTTCATCATTCAACACTTTCACCTCACTCACACATAATCACTGGTTTTGCAGAGGTGCCCAGAATACATCACTTTAGAAGTATATACGTATAGAAATATATATATTATATATATTATATATATTTTATATATATATATATTATATATATATATATATATATAATATATACATATATTTTATATATATTTTATATATATTATAAAATATATATATATATATATATATATATATATATATATATATTATTATATATTATATAATATTTTATATATATTGACAAAACATTCACAAAATATGATAGAAAGTAAAACAACATAGGTAACTCAAAGCTACATCTCGTATACTTCGTTCAGCTCCCCGGCGGTGGGCCGCGTGCCCAGAATGCTGCAGGCATTTCCTCTCTGGATCGCAACACTGAGTCTCTGAAAGAGGAAGCTGGTCGCCCTGTGGTCCTTGGTTTCTATGATGAGCTTTTCATCCAGCTCTATTAGGAACTTTAGAGCACACTTGCCCCATGCTCCAAGGGTCTCCGACCCTATTGGGATGAAGTTATAGCAAAGGGGAAGGTCTTCATATTTGCGGATCTTCTGAGTCTCCCTGTGGCTGGCAGCTCCACCCCCTTCCACTACGGAGTATGGTAAGTAGGTGTCTGCCAATGTGGCGGCACATGTGTTGTCCCAGGCAATCTGCTTTCCATACTTCCAAGGGAGCATAATGGCTCCATCAGAGCGCTTTTGACTTCTGTCAGACCTCTGCACTTGGGGTTCCGGTTGAGCTGGGCAACGGGCTGTGGCGAGGCTTCTCTTTATGATATCATTGACCTCCTCATGCCAGGCATACTTCCCTTCTGCTGTATGACACACAAGACCATGAAGTCCGAATTGATCAGCTGTCGCCCTGCCGCAAATACACCTAAGTTCGGTGAGGATGGGGGCGGCTAGGCGAAGAGCAACACCAATCCGAATAGCCTGTGGGTTTAGTCGAGTGCCCAAGGAGGAATTGGGAACAGCTAACAGGAAATCTCCTGAGTGTGGTGCCTTCACTGCCAGGAGACGAGCTTTGTCCTTTCCTGAGGCGTTGGAGAGCACTGTGTTGGCGATTTTTTTTCCATGATCGGTTTGTCCCAGTGGGACTGTTTGTGTTCTTTGGGAGGAGCTGGTCTACTGGAGGAATCTGTAAGGGTGTCCCACCGAATAGTTGCTTCAGTAAACCTGGGGTCTTGAGCTCCTACCACGTCTCTCAAGCGTTCGGGAACAATCTTTTTGACTAATGCACTGGAAGCCAAACACGAAGACAGAAAAGCAGGTCAAGCAACATGCATTGCTTTGCGCACCCCTATACCTCCCAGTCGCACTGGGAGGGTTGCCTGATCCCATTGCTCATCCTCTAGTGACAGGTTCAGTGCCTTCTCAAGGGTTGACCTCAGGTGTGCGTCATATTCGTCGAGTGTTGGGTTGTCAAAAGAGGGTGCACACCTCAGGAAGTAAGTGAGTCTTGGAATAGTAAGGCACCTTGTGAGGAGATACAGAGTATCATGGGCATCAAGATTGCTTATTCTCTCCGTTCTCATCAGGTCATTCAATTTGTCCTTGAGGACTGTGTCGATGGCCTGGTAACCAAGCGGTGCTCCCAAGAGGGTACTGTGGGACGGAGTGGTAGTAGAGACTTCTGGGAGGATTCTTCGCACAGCATTGATTATTTCCTGGTTCACTGTGATGATTTCACACTTGGAGGGGTTGAGGATGAGTTCCAAGTCTTCTCTCTGTGTTTTCACCAGTTGTAGGTCCCCTACCAGGGACTCTTCAGTACCTGCCAGAGTGCCATCATCCAGGTACCAGATGTTGAGTTCGCTGCGTAGGCTGGAAGTTAGCTCTCTTACTGCCAAGCAGAAGAGAAGTGGAGCTAGTGGGTCACCCTGCTGAACACCTTCTGATGATAGAATTTCTGTTCTCCAAAACAAAAGAATTGAGGGTTTGCTGTAGCCGGCTGAAATGAAGGGAAAAGACTGGGGAAACGATCCCGAACAGCTGGCAAGACAGCATCTCTCTTTACCATATTAAAGGCATTTCTAAAATCAAGTTTGACTACGGCCTTGTCTTCTGGTAGGTCCCTGATGTAGGCCCTTGCCGCATGAGCTGCAGCTTCACTGCCTTGAGGGACCCCAAAGCCCAGTTGGTGTGGCTGGAGTAAACTGGCAGCTTCTAGGAGAATGTTTCTTTACTGTGCTTTGGCAACGAGACGGCGAAGAGTGTTTCCAACCGCAATGGGTCTGATTCCCCCATCCTTCTTCAACGCACACAGTGAGGCTCCAAAAAAAAGAAAGGTTTAATTTCTTCTGGGATTCGCCCAGCCAGGCAGTTGTTGACGAAAGTTGTTAACTCGGTGAGAAGAAGTGATGCAGATGCACCGGTACTGGATTTACCATCTCCTTGAGGTGCTGAGGTCGAATTCCAGTGTAACCTTCTGCAGTTCCTGCTGGAAATGACACAATCGCCTTATAGACTTCCGATTCAGGCAAAATTAATTGTTCAGTGATGGGGTCTTCCTCAGGGTTGTTGTTGATTGCTATGGTGTCCCTGGTTGGATGCTTGTCTCTTAGTGCTTGGGCTGTGGTCTCATCTTTGGGGGCTACAGTGTCGTCACTTGTAATTTTTCGGATTGCTCCCACTGTGTTACCTTCTTCAATTTTTTTGCTAACCTGTGCGCAAATTTTCTCATTTTCAGTGGGACTTTTCTTGGGTCTACCTTTGTGATTCCTGCGATGATGGGGCAGAGGGACACAATTATCCGTTCATGGGTAGTTGCGCACTGCCTTGATAACTGACGTGGTTAGCAGTTTGCCTCGCCTCTCAGGAACTGCAAGACAGACATTGCCGAACAGGAGCAGGTTGCACCATGCTTGGATGGTGCCTCGGGCTTCTAAGTTGGTGGAACCTCCATTCACCTGCTTAAGAAGGTCTGTGAATTTCCCTGCTGCATATGGGCGAGCCGCTTTAGGGATGTGGGATAGGGTACAGTTAGTCAGGTATTCTTTGATTAATTGCAATGCCCTTCCTGTTATGAGTGCTTGATCCTCTAGCTTTTGCACTAAAATTTTGTGAGAAACTGTGCTGGAGTCCCTCTTGCAGCCCAAGAAATTGCAATCTACCCACCCATCTCTCTCGTGTATTCCATTACAATGTAAAAAAACTCCAAAAGGTTTGTGACACAGAATTTTCCTTACCCGAATCCATACTGGTTGTCGTTTATATGCTTCTTCCGTTCTAGGCGCTTCACCACTCTCTTGATAATCTTCTCCATGCTATGCATACTATACACGTCACTGGCACTGGTCTGTAGTTTAGTGCCTCGTGTCTGTCTCCTCTCTTAAAAATGGGGACTACATTTGCCGTCTTCCATATCTCAGGTACTTGCCCAGTTTCAATGGATGTTTTGAAAATTGTTGTTAGTGGCACACACACAGTGTCTTTGCTCCCTCTCTAAGAAACTATGGAGAGATGTCCAGTCCCATCGACTTTGAGGTATCAAGTTCACTTTGCAGCTTCTTCATCTCTTGGTCAGTTATGTGTGTTTCATTCAGCACTTGTTGGTATATCCCTTGTTGGTGTACCCCCTATTCTTTCTCCCCACCTTTCTTCCTCAGCCTGATTAACTGGTCCTTGACTGTTGTCTTCCTCCCGACGTTGTTATACAACAGCTTTGGGTAAAACTAGACTTTCGATGCTATGTCGTTTTCATACTGTCTCTGGGCCTCCCTCCTTATCTGTGCATACTCTTTTCTGGCTCTTCAACTAATCTCTTTATTTTCCTGGGTCCTTTGTCTTTTGTATTTTTTCCATTCTCTGGCACACTTAGTTTTTGCCTCCGTACATTTATGGGTAAACCAAGGGCTCATTCTGGTCTTCCCATTGTTTCTATTGCCCTTGGGAACAAACCTCTCCTCTGTTTCTTTGCATTTTGTTGTCATGTAGTCGATCAGTGTGTTTACTGATTTTCCTACCAATTATCTTTCCACAAGTGCAACTAATGTGACATTTATTGTGGCAACGTTTCGCTCTCCAGGAGCTTTATCAAGCCATTACAAACAATACATGGACACAGAGGGTATATAAAGGCTCAAAGTGAGGTGCAATACTAGTGAGGTAACATTTCGATGTTCACTAGTGGTAGTAGTAGTAGTAGTGGTAGTGACAAAAGTAATACAATATGATAGAGCAATTAATTCGTACATGAGTAAAAGGATACAAAAGCTATTACTTGGATAACATAAAAATAGGTTGGACAAATAAAGACTGGAAAGATGCAGCTTGTTTCAGTGTTCACTCTCTGACATGTGCTTTGTGTAGTATAACAGGAGAGACTATGTGATAGCAGGGTTTACTGTTTTCAGGAGGATTCTTGCTAAGACTTCGGAGATGGTGAAGCTGCCATTGTTTTGTTTAATTGTATTCGAAACAGCGATCAGTGCTGATTCGAGGCACTTGCGTCTGCGGAAATTAGTTTCTTTGATCACTAATTGGGCGTCTCCGAATTTCATGAGATGATTGGTGGAATATCGGTGTTGTACACA